CTGAGACATGACATTTCAGTATAAAAATATATATATTGGAGACATACTCGATTCGTAGGTGTGTGCAATGCACACCGCCTTTCTCACAGTAAATCATGCGTCTGCACATAAGTATTCACTTTCACATTGATATGTGTTCATCCAACATCAAGAAATCCATTATATTGGTCATTTTTTAGAAATAGTCCACTAATTTGGCGGACATCAAACTTGATACAATAAGTTGTAAAATTCATCATTTTTTGTCCATTAATCACACAAGAGCCTACGTGGCAAACATAAACTTGTCCACGTATTCGTCCGATAAAACGCCACGTATGCTTATGGACCAAAACTGATGAATTTTACAACCTATTGTATCAGGTTTGATGTCTGCCAAATTAGTGGACCATTTCTGGAAAATGGCCAATATAATGGACCAAAAATGAAATTTTGCCGTACAAGACGTATATATAAAGAGTTAATAAACGGTATAATTGAATAGAGCTGAGTATGGTACTCGGAGACAGCCCAACCGAACTCATTCGTACCGAAAAGTAACCATTGACTGTTTAACTATCTCTGAATTGAACTAAGTTGTAAAAATAATTGATACAGTTGTGAAGATTTTACAAATATCCATATCGAGAATCGAACCGAACCGCCATAATGTATCGAACCGAAGAATCGAATTACAACATTCGATGTGCCTTTATTAATATATTTTATGTCAAATTTGATTTTATATAATTTAAGAGTTTTTCCGCTGGAGAGGACCGCATAGTTTGGGGCCCGTCCCATGATGCAAATTTCTCGACGAAATCAGCGTACCAGGCTCTTGACGCACACGAGCGATCTCCGGACAGTATGTTGTGGAAACTAGTGTGGCGTATTGCAGCGCCGCAAAGGGTGCACACCTTCTTATGGCTCGCGGTCAAGGAACGGCTATTAACAAACGCCGAACGAGTAAGGAGACATATCTCGAGCTCGGAGTTGTGCGAGGACTGTGGCGTAGCGGAGACGGTAATTCATGCTCTGAGGGACTGTCCCGGGACTGCGCGCCTCTGGACTTGCTTAATTCCGGCAGGGGAGCTCACAGATTTCTTCACAACCCCTTTTCGAGAATGGA